AAACTGCCCCAAAAAGTGACGCAGGCCATAAAACGGGAGATTTTCCTTAAAAAACCAAGCCTCAGAATGGAGGCCGTTCTGTCATATGTTCCTTACCTGGGCCCTGCTCCCGTCCGCCGTCAGCGGTCACTGCCCTGGCCCGGGTGTCTCCCGCGTGACCGGCTGCGAGCTGATCGTATGGCTGCTTTGTTGCATATTTCCGGATCAGCGTTACTGCTAGCTGGTGTGTAAAACATATGCTGGACACCTGCAACAGCACCCCGAATTATCCCCCCTTACACCACGCCACCGCAGAAAAAAACTGTGAACCTGCCTGCCTTAGGTATACATTGGTCCAACGGACATTAATGTGCCCATCATTCAACGTTGCCGACCTGATCTGCTTTTGAGTGTAGGTGGCGTAGCCTTAAATAATTACTTAAACACTGAAACTTATTATGGATGCAAGCTAAGTGACGTAGTTTTGAGCATGCGCAGTCGCAAATCTTAGTAACAAAAACCTCGACAACAGGCGTCGCACTCTCCGCAGGGAGCTCAGTGTCGGCCCAGCAGCTAATTCTGAGCTGTGACCAACGAATGGGCGACATTGATGATGTTTCTGAAAGGACTAGTTTTGAACGCTTCAGGACATCAAATCTTACATTTAGAAGGCAGTCTGGGCGCATATTTCACCTGTGCGATTTTTAGACTGATGATAAGAACGGATTGGCCCTTTGACCACCGCGAAGCGGTGCTGAAATCTGATGATGGAACTGCAAGAGTAGGAGAAAGAATCTCTATTTTTCGTGTTTCTGCAAGTATTAATGTGTTCATATCGCACTCGCCGCAGATAGCACGAACTGCATATGCTACGATGAATTTCTACACACTTGCCTAAGATAATTTACGCGCTTTTAACGTACCATATTTCACTTCCCATGGTCGCTGAATTTGTGGCAATCGCCATTCTTGAGCATCACATTCTCAGCACATTTGGATGATGGCATAGTTTACATTCACCCTTCATAGCCCAAACAAAAACCCTGCGTTCGTCATTAGCTATCAGCTTATTGCATCTACTAGCCGTCTAATGGGAACCACCCTCAGGATGAATTATCAAGCTCCATTTTGACATTTAGCTGCCAAATTTAACTCATGTTGTCACACAATGGCGCGGACAGGGGATATATGGGCACACCCCTCCCCCAAATCGGGCCCGACGAATAGGGGCCCGACTTAAGATCCCGAAGGACCCGAAAGGCCGGCTGTAGGTCGTATTCAGGGGTCCCGGCTCGCATGGCCGGACATTCTAATGCCAGCCACAGAGCCCTTTGCGCCGATCAGGGGCTCTTAATTCAATAAGCGTGTATATGTCGGTCTGATATCACCTGTACCCCATGGTCTGGTCCGTGTCGGTATGAGCCTGAGGGCCCGCTTCCTAAGCAGCGGCAAAGCGGGCGCCAGCGATTTACACTGGTCGAGGCTTCTGTATCTGTAAGGGACTCGCAGCGCCAAACGTGGGGTCCAGTGTTGGCAAGGGTCGATCGAGGGCAGTGTTCAGTAAGGTCCGAAGAGAGGACGATCAAACGATCAAAAGCCAGGTTAAAGGGCATAAGGGCTCAAAAGGCTGGGTGTAGGTCACATAAAGATCCCAGCCCGTACGGCCGTCACCTGAAATATCAGTCAGAGGGCCTCTTGCACTGACTGGGAGCCGCTGAGACCGTGCAGGCGTCTATGTCGGCCAGGGACCATCAGCACCGAACACTCGGCTCTGTGTTGGTCGGACAGGGCACACTCTGCGGCTCGCCCGCGTACAGTCACACTTAGCGCATCAGCACTGTCGTATTTGCAAGTGCATCCGAGTTGGTTTGCTAACAGAAGGGGAATGGAACCCATCCGGCGTCATGGAACGGTGCTGCTTGTCGGGTCGGTCCGCGCCTGTGTCATGTAACGGTACCGCGCGCGCTACGCCAGCATCGCCGACGGGATCCGCATCAAGGAGGAGGCCAAGAAGGTGGAGCTGGAGGAGGCGCGACAGATTCAAGCTGGCCACCGAGGAGTACAAACACCAGCTGGAGCTCGGCAAACTGGAGGTAGTCGGCGGCTCGAGCTGGGCTCCCTGACGGCACGTCTCAGGACGAAACTCGAGTGGTTCAAGCCAGCCGCCGAATGTGGCGGGTCAGGGACGTGCGGGAGTCAGCTATAGCCATGCTGAACCTTGCTTGTCTGCGTGGCATGTAAGCAATCAAGCAGTGATAGTATCGCACGTCATTGTGTGAATGTTTGCAACCACCACTGTTCTTACTCATGACTGTTAAACTATGTTTTTAGGAGCACGAGAAAAGGCAAAAGCTGAAGAAGGAAGCAGATCAGTTCTTACGTACGCAACGGGCTTTCGAGCTGCTCAAGCAGAATCGAGATCAGGAGGAGAATGTAAGTGACCAGAATAAAACATCATGCCAATACCAGTCAAGCAGTAAATATATCCGACCTGTTCCCAAAGCGGACACCAAACACTGCGCCCAGAGACTCAGTGCTAGCCCGCTGCTTTTGTCTTTGATGAGCAGTGCGACAGTGGTCATGTGGACCCGTTTTCAGGCCGAGATCCGTGTGTACGGGCTGGGCAAGCTGGAGATGGCGCGTCGCATCAACGAGCAGCGCGCCGAGATTCTGGCGCGCAGCCGGCGGCGCAGCGAGGCCGCCTGCGACCACCTCTGGTCGCTGATTGGCAACAAAATATCGGACGAGGACGCGCGCATCGCGGCCATCGTGGCGCAAAAGCGCGCCCAGAAGGACGCCGAGGAGGCGGCCAAGCAGGCGGCGCGCGCCGCCATGATGGCTTCCATCACGCAACACCGCATCGACGAGGTGCGCCGCCACCGCGACGGGGAGCGGCGTGACGCCGAACGCAAGCTGGAGGAGCGGGCCGCGCTCGACGACGAGACGCGCCGGCTGGCGGCGGAGCTGCGCGACCGGCAGCGCGACCTGCTGGAGCAGCGCTCGCGCAACCGGCGCGACTGGCAGGAGCAGGCGGTGAGCTGGGCGGGGCGGGTGCGGACCGGCGCGACTGGCAGGAGCAGGCGGTGAGCGGGGCGGGGCGGGGCGCGACTGGCGCGACTGGCAGGAGCAGGCGACGAGCGGGGCGGGGCGGGGCGGGGCGCGACTGGCAGGAGCAGGCGGTGAGCGGGGCGGGGCGGGGCGTCTGGCAGGAGCCGGCGGTGAGCGGGGCGGGGCGGGTGCGGACCGGCGCGACTGGCAGGAGCAGGCGGCGAGCGGGGCGGGGCGGGGCGGGGCGCGACTGGCAGGAGCAGGCGGTGAGCGGGGCGGGGCGGGGCGACTGGCAGGAGCCGGCGGTGAGCGGGGCGGGGCGGGTGCGGACCGGCGCGACTGGCAGGAGTAGGCGGTGAGCGGGGCGGTGCGGGTGCGGACCGGCGCGACTGGCAAGAGCAGGCGGTGAGCGGGGCGGGGCAGGGCGCGACTGGCAGGAGCAGGCGGTGAGCGGGGCGGGGCGGGTGCGGACCGGCGCGACTGGCAGGAGCAGGCGGTGAGCGGAGCGCGGCGGGGCCGGGGCTCGGACTCGGACTCAGGACGGTGTCCAAGGGGTGACGCGGCCACCACAGGAGAGTCCCCATGGCTCCCTGGGCGGACTTAAGCGGTGTTTATTGACGGGTGGTGCCACTCTAGCTTTCGGTTGGCAGGAGGAAGTGGAGGCCAAGCGGCTGGTGGAGAAGGAGGAGGAGTATGAAGAGGTCAACCAGCTGAAGGGCACTATACGGAAGGAGAAAGAGCAGTTCGAGGAGTACGTGCGCACCGAGATGGAGCGGCTGGAGCAGGGCAAGCGCAACACGTTCCCGCTTCAAGTCGCCGCGCGGGTAAGCGCGACCCAACGCAGCCACCTCTGTCCGTTGGTGGCTGATCTCTACAGTCAGGAGCACAGCGTGTGTCCACGAATCATCACACTCCCTCTCGTAGTTCATAGATTGTACACGGTCTCATATGCGGACGCTTCCGCGCGCGTCCCGTGGTTGTGCATGCTTGTCTTCAGCCACAGTCAATGGCCGGTGTGGTCTCCATGCAACACGCCTCGCCGACGGGTGACCGTTGGACCGTTTGCCTGTTGACAGGCGCCGGCGCCCGGGTTCCTGCGTCACTCCACCGACTGGTCGTCGGTCGGTATCCGGCCGTACTGAGCGGCGGCCGGCGCCGTCCTCTGCCGCACCGCCGCCCCCTCTTCTGCCCGCCGACGCCCGCTCGCCGCATGCTGTCCGGCAGAAGCACGCTGTTCTTGGCGCGATGTCTGGTCAGTTTCACGGGAGCTTCACGGCGTGATCGGTGACCCATGCATCGGAAATCAATGCCACAGTGTGCATAACGCAGCCTTATCGTGCTTGCAAGTGGTTACAAATTTATTACAATGTGGTGATTTCGCGTAGCTGTGTGCCGAGTGCGGGTATTAGCTGCAGCAGTGTGGAAATCCAGTCAGATGTGTTCGTCCTCCAATCTAGTCGAAAACTAGTCAAAAGTGTCCGTTGTCCCTTTTTTGCCATAAAGACACCACCTGCGCCACAAAAATACAACGGAAAAACCCAGCGCATGAGAAAGTCGCGCACGAAATTTTTCTTTGTGATGTCTCATCCAATGAGTGGGCCAGTGATTGGTTTGTGACGCACCCTTCTGTCCTGGCACGAACAAACAACCACCAAATACAGCTCTACCGGCGTGACCCGAGGCGTCTGAACACCAGACAGGGCGCCCTGCGCGCTGCGGACACTGCCCAGCCGCGGCCGGGGCAGCGACAGCTCGCACCGCCCGGGGCCGTCCGCGGACTGCAGTCACGCGCGGGGTGTTGATACGGCACTGCGACTGGTCCGTGCGTTGAGAGGGCTGCAGCTGAAGGGACCTGATGGCAATCGCCTGCGGGTTTGACGCATAGAAAACTGCAGTATTCTTTCCTGGTCTACGTCGCACGCTCCATTTCGCTATGAGAGCTTACTTTTGCGGGCAATTGTGCAGATTTTTGGCGTGGCAACGTCCCAGCTGGAGGTGGGAGCCGCCTGGTCGTGCTTTCTTCATGTTTGTGTTTAAGCCCACAACATTATGGCGGCAGGCAAAGCGCGAAGCGGTCACGTTTCCGTGGTTGTGATCTGTTGTGTTTCAAAATTTTCGCTTATCAGAGGCTTCCGCTTGGGCTAGGAAAACGGAAGCTTTTTTGCAGACCTAATCTAAGTACCTGCTTGGGTAAGTGCGTCCTTGTGTGCGGCGCTGAGCCCCAGACGTAGCCTGTACACGCCGCGGGCGGCCGGCGGGTCCACGCGCTGCAAACCGCACCGCCGCTTTAACAGCGCTGCAGACTCGCAGTGATCAAATGTCGTAAAGCTCAGTTGAGCTACGAAAGCCAGGTGCTCAAGCGCTCCCCTGCTCACATACCGTTAGGTATCGCGTAAATGTATTTTCTGCTACTTAAAATAAGGAATTTCGTGCACTTTCACAGCGTAGACTACCACAGCGCGCTGGAGCGCGGCGACAACAGATACCATTCCCCCAGCACACCCCACACCCGTCTCTCCATCACAGTGGCCACAGGGCCAAGCACTGCCAGGCATGGAATTTATCGCGCGTGGTTACAAAACAGCGGACTAGAATAGGACAGGACGGGGCGCCGGGCCCGTGCAGAAATGCAACCACGTAATCCCATTTGGCCGCGCGCTCTGGACGGCCACGGAGACCCGGCTCCGACTGCACACTTCCGGCCGCCCCGCGAGAGCGGCCCGCCCCGCCGGCGGGGGGAGACGCCGGGCGGCTACCTCGCGCCGCCCGGCTGCGGCGGCAGGCCCTGCCGGTCCAGCAGAGCGTCGAAGCGCGCCAGGTACGGTTCCAGGTCCTCGGTGCACACGTCGCTCACGCTGGTGACGCTCCTGTAACGGACGGGGCGCTGGCGTCAGCGCTCCGGGGATGGCAGGTCGTCCCGCCAGTGCGGCGCCGCCGCTCCAGGCGACGCTCTGGAGGAGTACACCCCGCCCCGCCCCGCCTCCTGGGGTGGCCGTCATCACGTGGAGAAGAGCGCACCCCACCCCGCCCCGCCTCCTGGAGTCACCGTCATCACATGGAGAGGAGCACACCCTGCCCCGCCCCGCCTCCTGGGGTCGCCTTCATTACATGGAGAGGAGCACACCCCACCCCGCCCCGCCTCCTGGAGTTGTTGTCATCACATGGAGAAGAGCGCACCCTGCCCCGCCCCGCCTCCTGGGGCGATCGTCATCACATGGGGGAGCACACCCCACCCAGCCCCGCCTTCTGGGGTCGCCGTACATCACATCAGCCGCGTGTGTGTCGACGCCACGCAAACGTGGAGGCAGAACATTCCGCGCCGCGCCGCAGATTGCGTACCTCTTCTGATCACCACCGCCGTGATTCAGCGCCGCGCCGCGGATTGCGTACCCCTTCTGATCGCCACCGCCGTGACATTATGTTCCGAAGTTTCGGGTCAACATTCAACCAGGAAAGAAATTACACCGATGGAATTGAATTATGCCATCTGACTGATGCATGACTAATAACACACACAAGTGTCCAGTTCGTGACTTGTGCCTGTGAACGCAGCTCCGGGTCGTGACTGGTGACAGCGAGCGCGGCTCCGGTCCGTGACTTGTGACGGTGAGCACGGCTCCGGTTCGTGACTTGTGACTGTGAGCGCGGCTCCGGTCCGTGACTTGTGACGGTGAGCACGGCTCCGGGTCGTGACTGGTGACAGCGAGCGCGGCTCCGGTCCGTGACTTGTGACGGTGAGCACGGCTCCGGTTCGTGACTTGTGACTGTGAGCGCGGTTCCGGGTCGTGACTAGCCACTGTGAGCGCGGCTCCGGTTCGTGACTGATGACAGTGAGCGCGGCTGCTAAACAGAGCGGCTAAACAGAGCGGTCTCCGGACAGGGCGGCCACCTCGGGCGCACATGACCAGACCCGCAGGGCACTGCGGGCGGCGCCGCCTGGCCGCACTCCGGCGGCCGGCGTCCAAGCGCCGACCACGCGCGACACGGCCGCCGCGCGCACCGGCCACTAACCTGGCGTCGAACTGGCTGAGGTCGGGCACCGAGGCGCTGCAATCCCGGACGATGCGGTCCAGCTGGTCAAGCTGGGCGCGGGCGCCGGCGGTGGAGGCGGAGAGGCAGGAGGAGACGGGAGAGGCGGCCCGGTCGGCGGGGGACGCGGCCCGGTCGGCCGGTGCCGTCAGCGCGCCGGCCGACCGTCGGCCTGCGAACAACGGTGTTGCGTCAGAGGGGAGGCACTGATCGGGTCAGGCGCCGTAGCCCGGTGCCAGCGCAACATCGTCCTACGACCATGTAAGAAGTGATCCTTACCTTCTTTAAAAAAAGAAAGACAGACCCGGCTACAAATACACATCGATCATTTCCGGTTCTGATATCGATGTGGGGAAACTGCTGTTGTACAATAATAACCGTGATAAGTGATGACACACCAATCTCCCTTGGTTTGGATGGTCATACATAACATCACCATTACAGACACAACGGCACTCCTAGAACATCAGCCGACATCCCCCCCCCTGCAGTCTGTTGAGGTACGGGGGGGGGGGGCGTGACCCTCCGCAGTCGGGGAGCCAGACGGCATCGCCACGCCGTAGCACGCACCTGCTCGCCACCTGTGCACCATGAACGCCATGCGGTGGACGGCGATCAGCACCCAGGCGGCGGCGCGGAACTTGGCCAGCGGCGCCAGGAAGCGGCGGCCGTCCGGCCAGAACGCCCCGCCCGTCAGCTGCGTCATGCGCTGCAGCGTCATCGTCTCCGTCTCCTGGTAGCCGCCGAGCAGCACCATGAGGTAGCGCTTTTGCCAGCACAGCGCGCGTCGGTAGCTCTCGGCGCGCAGGAAGCGGCCGTAGGCGTACTGCAGGCGCGCGTCGTCTCCGTCGCCGGCGCGCGGCTGGCCGCGCCTCAGCCGTTCCTGCTCTGCATCGAGCCGGGCGATCCGCTGCTGCAGCCGCTGGCGCTCCTGACTCCAGGCCGAGCGCTCGGCCTCCAGCCGGTCGCGCCACGGGCCGGGCCCCGCTGCCGACGGCGCGTCGCCACGGTGACCCAGCTCGCGCTCCAGATCGCCGATGCGCGCGCGCAATCGCTCCACCTCTTCGTCGATGTCGGCCAGGCCGGCCACCTGGCGGCGAAAGCGTTGAACAGACGCGGGGCGCGGGGCCACATCAGCCGGGCGGGCGGCGTCGACAGCACAGGCTGTCGGCACGGGGCGGACCCGTGCTGCCCTGGACACCGTCACACCACCCGCAGACCCGAGCCCGAGAAACCACACATCACGTCCAAATATAACCTCCACAAGGTCCGCAGGCCACGCACGCAACAGGATATGACACAGACGGCAGGAGGGGACCAGTGGGGGTAGGGAGGGGGCGGGGCGGAGTCATGTGCACGCACAAGTCACAGCCACACCGCACACGGCTCTCACTGCCGACACATCGCCGCGGCCAAGCAGCGCCTCGCCTCAAACCACGCAGCGGCCCGCCGCCGGCTCGGCCGGCTCCTCTCTCACCTGTGCGCCGGACCGGCTCACCTTGGACCGGGCGTCGCCGGTGGGCGCCGGCCGTGCCCGCAGGCCGCTCCAGCTCGGCTGTCGCCGCCGACAGCTGCGGAACGCGCGCCGGCCAGAGGTCAAACAGCACACCCGCACACATGGACTGCGGCGCGGTCAGAACTGTACCATAGGGACACAGTCTTTATTATAGCGAAGTATAGGAAAACGAAAAGCTGTTAATAAAAGTCAAACAAGTCCATTACAAGATTCTCAAACACGGGCATCCATTCGGAATTAAGTAGCATGCATTAGCAGCATCCTATGGAGAACGGACCTGACTTCCACACGTGAATCGGCTAAAAATACGCAACCGTGGACAAAACACGTAAAAAACATTTCAAAGCGACAGGCGCCAATCACACTCCCACATTGTCATGCATAGCCCACTCCAGGACCGAATCCGCGTCCCACAAAGACGGGGGCGAGAGCTAGGACCAAGGGGGCGGAGCATCCAAACTCTGAAAACTGCATGGCCGTTGACTGGAAATAGATGACCAAAGCGGCTACAGGCCTCCAACTTGGGACAGCTTCCGTTGCTCCTGCGTATGGGTACTCCTTAGACGTATGCATAGCTGAATCATCACACACAGAAACTCCGTCTTTAGGAACATCACACCGGAGTTGAAGGGCAGTGAATGGCTGGATTCAGCTTTTAACTATTTGTTCGCAATGAACCTCCGATAACGAATGAAGTACCTCTGTTATTGTAACACCACGCTTACCATCTGTTGCGTGCCGGACAGGACCCTTAAAAGGGAGCATCCCATCTTTTTATACTTTTCACGCATCGTTACATCAGACGTTCATGATTTGATCAGTAAGATCAGTTTTTTCGAAGTTCTGAATACCTCAGTTTTCATCTGACGTAGCCCACTCTGCGGGGTAAACCTTATTTGACTCCCTGTTAACTCCACTATGACAAAAACACATTCCATTCGCTTTGATTTCTCCAAAGTACATTTTGTCATGTTTGTGAAACCCTAGTGTGCCAAAACATTTGTGTGATGAATAACACGAACGCTTGAAACACTGCTTAAGGCAAAAAGATTTACGAACATGAAGCTTTTATTCCGCGATTTCAATAAAATGTTAAACTACGGCTTTGATTTCTTCCTTATGGCGTTTGCCCCAATGGCCCTTTTCGAGGCGCACTTTGGCCTTGGGAATGGGAGTATTACATGATCCATGTGGCGCACTGGTTCAGGCTTCAAACCATCAACTTCTCGGCAGCAGGCCCTTGCCTGCTGGGTCAATCACAAACGTTCCCTTTTCGCACCAGTAGGGGCGTGCGCAGTGATTGTCATGACGACTGTGGCCGCGACCGCAGGGAAGACGCGTAGTGCTGTTACAAAGCGTTGATAGCGTAACTTGGGCCAAAAATCACTATAACTGATATCTATATCATGTCTTGACGGCACTGCAGTGGTGCTACCCAGCGTTATTATCAAATTCAACTAATCCTGAGGTTTCAGTAAAGTATGATACGAAACATATCCCGAAGGTAGGACACTGCCTTTGATTTGATAATGCAGATGCTCACGTTACCCTGTCACGCTTTCAACACTAAGTTTTGCCGAGCTTCACAGCCATAAAAAATACTCACAACTTTAAGCCTGATGGCGGGAGAGTACCGCGAGTCAACTCAGCGTTAATTCTGTACACGCTCGAGCCACTTGTCCTCTAGGCATAAACCACTCTGGTCACAAACAGGCTGGTATGGTCAGCCCATCCCTGTGGCCAGGAACCACCTACCAGCTGCGCCCATTTCCAACACAGAGCGTCGCCAGTACAAAACCTGATACCCGATCACGTAAATGTCTTCATGTCTTGGTCCTGGCAGTTTTGATATGACTGCCTTCGCCAACCACACTCTGCAGTCACCACCTCAGCGTCGTCGCCTGCGTCCACGCCCCCGCTCACCTGCTGCCGCAGCTCTGCCATCTGCTGTCGCAGCTCTGCCATCTGCTGCCGCAGCTCGGTCGCCTGCTGCTGCAGACGCTGGGCGGCGCGCCGCTCGCGCTCGGCTTCGGCGCGGCGCCGCTCGGTCAGCAGGCGCTGCTGGGCGCCGCGGCCGCGCTCCGTCTCCAGCTCGGCCAGCAGCCGGCGGCAGCGGTGCTGTTCGTCCGAGAGAAGCTGGCGCAGCTGCGACTCGGCCGGAGCCTGCCTCCCGGCCCCGGCCCCGGCCGCGTCTGGCCGCGGCGGCGGCACCGCAGCACACGCCTGGACGGCAGAGCAGGTGTCAGCACGGCTGCAATGAGCCAATCTGTACCGAACATAAGCCAGCAGTCAGCGGCATAACTGTCCGAAGGAAAGCATACCTGTACCTTGCCTGAGCACACGCACGCGCACGCGCACACACACACACACACACACGCACGCACGCACGCACGCACGCACGCACGCACGCACGCACGCACGCACGCACGCACGCACGCACGCACGCACGCACACACACACACACACACACACACACACACACACACACACACACACACACACACACACACACGGGCCGATCTGGCGGCTCGAATCACATTCGGCACGTGTGACATACAACATATCCATGAAGGGCCCTCCCATCACCAGCCTCATTACAACCCAGAGCAAAACTCGGTCGCGTGAGCCCGAGCGCCGCCGGCGCAGGACGGCGCCAGAGGTGACCCACATACTGCCGGAGCGCACCGGCGAGCTCACAGCCAACCATGATGAGTCGACTCTCACCTGGCAGTGTTCTCACTTCACCTCGACTCCCACGACTCTTACCTGGCCCGCTTTCAGCTGCGCTTCCGTCGCCGTCGTCGCCACCGTCGTCACCGCGGCGGTAGTCGTCACGGTGGCCGCTGGCGCCGCCGCTGCGACGGTCGCCGCCGCCGCCGTTGTCAGCGGCGTCTCCTCCTCGGCGGCAGCCAGCTCGGCCTGCAGCTGCGTTAGCTGGTCCTCGAGGGCGGCGCCGGGCCAGCGCTCGGAGCAGAGGCGTGAGATGAGACGCAGCTTGGCCTGGTGCTCTGCCGCCAGCCAGCCCTGCAGGCTGTCCACCAGCGCGCGCTCCTCCCGCAGCCGCCATTCCAGCAGCTCCACTGGCGGCACACCGACGCCGGAGCGTCACAGACCGGTCCGGCCCCGACACCTCGCCCCGCAGGCGCCACGGCCCGGCTCGCTGTCGATGCGCTGGCACAGGTACGCTACGGGCCGGCCTCGAGTCGGCACACTGTACCGCGTGGGTCTAACGGCAGCGCAACGTAACCGATGTCGCTGGCTGGCCTGGTGCCGGCCTCCAGCTAGACTGGTGCACAGCCAGGCACGACAGCCGGTACATGTTCCGCGGGAGAGAAGTCAGCCACATAACGCCTGAAGCCGCGTTGCCGCCGGCTGCGCTCAACATGGGCCCGGGTTGGCCAGGCCGCCTGGAGGCGAGCCAGCTGGGCAGGCCCGGCTCCAGCCCCAGCTCTGGCTGCTGCGGCCGGCACCTCACCTATCTGCCGGAGCTCCTCCTCCGTCTGGCGGCCGATGGCGGCGGCGCCGTCGCCGGCCGGCCCCGGCGCCGCGCTCGGGCCGGCCGAATGTGACTTGACGAAGCGCAGCTCAGAGAGCGTCAGCACCTGCCCGGCGCCGCACGGCGACACGTCAGCATACAGTGGGCCCGCCACTGACAGGCGACAACAGGGACCACCACCGGACTACAGGCTACTCCACCGGACCACACCACGGCCGGTGGGTGGCACCGCTTCAACACGGAGCGTCGACAAGCGCCCGCTGCCGCGCTGACGCCGCTCCGGTTCGCTCCGCGTCGCACCGCTGCGGGCACGCCCCCCACACCGGCCTGACGGCATGATTCTGCGGTCCGCCGGCGACCACCGCGCCGGACCGGTCGGGCCACGTCAGGCGCGCGGCGCCGCTCACTGACCTGGACGCCCTGGCTGTGCACCTTGTCGAGCAGCCGCTGCAGGCGGCGCGGCGTCTCCTGCTGCTGCTGCGGCTGCGACTGGTCGGCGGCCGGACCGAGCAGCGCCGTCAGCCGCACCTCCAGCTGCCGGCGCCGCCGTTCCTCCTGACGCCGATCAGCGGCCAGCTGGCGGCAGCGCTCCTCCAGCGCCCGCGCTCGCTCCTCCCACGCCGACGGCTGTCGGGAGCAGGCAGGGCGCCACCGGTGAGCATCACTCGACGCGGGGCCCAAACAAACGCACGCAGCAGTTGGGCCGTAAGTACACGGCCCCAGCAAATGCAGCGTACAGAAACGTGAAATGGTCGGCGGTGGCCCTCTCAACTCTACCTCCTACATCTCAACCAGACGTCAATCATCTGGGCCTCCGGTCCTTCACCCCGAGCCATACGTCCATGACTGGGTCTGATGTCGTCACCTGGTCTGGCGGCGACAGACCCGGACCGCTGTCCCGCTCCGGCTGCTCCGAAATAGCCCCAGACCGACTGTTGACGCTCGCCTCCGACTCCGGTCCGGCCGGGCCGACGCTGCAGCGCCCAGAGCCAGAGTTTCCCGATCAGTCACCGAACGGGAACAGACAGCCGGACGCAAAACTGTGCGGCACTGGGCAACCATCGCCGGCGCAACACCTCAGAAGGGCGACAATTTGTTATTGCAACGCCTCACATAAGCCAGTGTGGACATTCACGGGCACGCATGGGCCGCGACAAAACATGACAGTTGTAATGATCCACGTTTAAATGACAGCACGCTGGCTCAGAAGTTGGCACAAGGGCGTTCCTGGCATGGCACGCCCGGCACTACCGCCCTACCCACATCACGTGTACACCACGTGGCACCAGCTCATTCCGCCGCCGCAGTCGAAACTGACCTGCCCTGCGCCGCGGACGGTCCCGGAGTTTCTGCAGCGCCGTCGCCGCCGCGGCGGGAGCTCAGCTGCTGAATGAGGCCGTCCTTCAGTTGAACGGCCTCCTCCAGCGCGCGCAGGCGGACCGCCAGCTGGTGGGCGTGGCTCTCCTTACTCTGGAGGTCCGCCTCCAGCGAGCTGATGTGTCTGGTCAGCTCCTGGACTCTGTCCTGCTTTCTGGCGACCTCCTGCTCCAGTGACTGCAGGCGGACTGTCGCCTCCTGAGTGCGACCCTCCTTCTTTCGGCTCTCCTCTTCCGCCGAGCGTAGTCGCACCAACAGCTTTTGGTCGTGGGCCTCCCTCGATCGCGCTTTGTCCTCCAGCGATCGCACGCGGGTGCGCATCTCTTTGTTGCGATTCTCGTTCTCAATGTTGTTCTGTTCAGCTAACTGCAGGCGGGTCTGCAGCTCCTGGACCTGGGCCTCCTTGGCTGTAAGCTCTCGGACTAGGGCCTCCTTGGCTTTAAGCTCCTGGACCTGGGCCTCCTTGGCTTTTAACTCCTGGGCCTGGACCTCCTTGGCTTTAAACTCCTGGGCTTGGGCCTCCTTGGCTTTTAACTCCTGGACTTGGGCCTCCTTGGCTTTAAGCTCCTGCATCTGGGCCTCCTTGGCTCTAAGCTCCTGGACCTGGGTTTCCTTGGTTCTAAGCTCTTGGACTTGGGCCTCTTTGGCTTTGAGCTCCTGGACCTGGGCCTCCTTGGCTCGGCACTTCGCCTCGGACGACTGGAGACTGGAGAGAAGCCGTCTGATCCGGGTCTCTTTGTCCTGATTGTCGCTCTCCAGGGAGTTCAACCGGTTCAGCAGCTCCTGGAATACAAAAGCCATTAGCTCTCGTCTAGCACAGCTGGGACAGCACACAAGTAAGGGTCGGCCAACTTCAGCCTGTTATACGATGGGAAACTTTTGCGTGGGTGACACCTCTCACATGTAATGGCGCACCTACAGTAAACGTGCCAAATGCACCATGATTTTGCGCACTACCAAGATCTTGCAATGGAGAAGGAATGGCTATCGGTAAGAATGCCAGATCGGTTTTATGTATGGGAGTTTATAGGCAGGACTACAAAGCTCGGCAGCGCTCAAAACAGTTGCAACAGAACGACGAGCAGGTGTCGCACCACGCCTGCTTAGTCGTCCAATAGCCGATCTCAACGCAGGCGAGGTCCAGCATTTGCGCGTCGGGTCCAGTAACCGAGTCTTTCGAGCATGCAACCGTCGCGGGGTCCGCACGAACGACACGGCGTGGTCAAGGTACCTGAAGACTTCCTGGCCTCCACTCAGGGGATCCAGGCGGACAGATAGGGTACGGTTAGTCGGGGATAGAAGAAAGGAAAATGATCTGATGATGCGTCTGTCGAGCTGAAAGAAATCGGTCAGGAACAACAAAAACGGATCACCCGCGCTACGTGGCACTAGTTACTGCGTCCAATGAATGACAATGGGCATTTCTCGATGTCGCGCGTCAGCAAGATGAAAAAACGCGCGGCTTTCTGAGAACTGTGCAAGTAATGTAAGAACGAAGACAACATGAACCGTAATAAGCGGTATCAAAACTGTGACCTCGGTATCACCCGGCACCAGTGTTCTCAATAGCGAGCTCCCTGAAACATACTGGTAGGAAGACAGAGCGTACAGGTCATATCAGCACCGACGTCGGTGTGAACCGCGTCTCACGTTCCTTGCCAGTAGGTGACACTTACACGTAATACTTGAGCTCTCTGCGAAAAAAACCCACGCGAGAACAAAACACGCCATCTCTGGCCAGCGCTACATTGAACGACATCAGACTGATCAGATCTGTTCTACCCTGCCCGCACGTAAAAGATCAGACCAGATGGCGACAGCGGCACGGCGGGTCACGCACACCTCCAGCCAGGCCCAGCAGCAGCAGCGGGAGCTCATCACCGGCGCCACTCCGGGGAGGCGGCGGCACCGGCCTCAACGCGGCCTTACCTGCGACACCGGGCCCTCTGGTGGAGCTCTGCCGGCAAGAGCAGAACGATCGCCGGCCGGCCAGCGGCACATACAACGGCTGTCAGGTACAACAGACGGACGTGCTGACCGTCCCACGGACGGAGACACTCGGGCCGACACACACAGGCAAGCAGACAAACTGACACATACAACGGCTGTCAGGTACAACAGACGGATGTGCTGACCGTCCCACGGACGGAGACACTCGGGCCGACACACACAGGCAAGCAGACAAACCGACACATACGGACCGGCTGTCAGGTACAACAGACGGACGTGCTGACCGTCCCACGGACGGAGACACTCGGGCCGACACACACAGGCAAACAGACAAACCGACACATACGGACCGGCTGTCAGGTACAACAGACGGATGTGCTGACCGTCCCACGGACGGAGACACTCGGGCCGACACACACAGGCAAACAGACAAACCGACACATACACATACCGACGAGCACACAGACAGACTCCGCCCCTCCCCCCCCCCGCCCCGGGGAGTCCAGTCCAGCTCCCTCACCTCGTCCAGCAATGAGGGGCAGGATGACTTGGAGCCGACCTCGCTGTACGCCGGTTCCGATCGCTCCGTACCCGACACGAAGGCAGACTCAGCCTCGCTCTCCGACACGCTGTCCGCCTCCTGCTGCCGCCACGGCCGGCACCAGTCAGCCGGGCAGCCCACACACGGCAGCGGCCACAGCGCATGAGCGCTAGGAGCACGTGCGGGCAGGTGGTTTTGTCCGGTGCTGGTGGTACCAGGCCATGGGGAGCTCCAATAGCCTCACAACCGAAAGGTGGACCTCGCTCTTCTACCCCGTAATCGGCCCGCTGACCCAGCTGATCTCAAGGCCGGCCAGCGGCCGCCACTGACCTGGTAGCCGGCCCGCGCGCTGGCCGGCGCCGCCGGGTAGGCCGGTGACGACGCCGCCAGCTCGGACATGTAGCCGGAGGAGGTCGGGTCCGGCTCCGAGCCGCCATCGGTTGCAGCCCGCTCCTTCTCCTGGCGCCGACGGTCGGTGCGCGGCGACGCGGCCAGACCGAGAGGGCGGGGGGAGGGATGGGGCGGTACGGGTCACGGTCAGGACAGGAAGGACGGCAGAGCACATGCAACCACAGCAATGGCAGCAGGAAAAGGGCACCCAGGCAGATGAACAGAAAAGAATGAATCTGTAGAACGGCCGTCAGATTGTCGAGTGATAGCAGTCATGCAGACAGACGAACAGAAGATCGGGTGCGACAAACCCTGCTAGGCTCCAGCAGCGGGCCGTTGTCCTGTCCCATGTGTCGTCACGTCAGAGTCCGTCAGTCGAGCGCCGAGCGCGGGCGCGAGAGCAGACGGGCGGCGCCACCACCGCCGCGCCCCACCTGCTGACTCTGGCGCTGGGCGCGCGCCATCAGCGCCGACGCCTCGTGCATCTTGCTGCAGGCGTCCAGCTTGTTAATCTCCATGTCGCGCAGCGTGACCAGCAGCTGCTCCTCCAGACAGCGCATCTGTGGTGACGACGTCTCCGCGCCCTGCACACAGCGGCATCGATAGAGGGCGCTCAGCTGCTCGTCGAGACGGACCACCGCCACGACCGAGGGGTGGGGCGCAACGATAAACCTGGTCGATCGGCTACCCTGGCACCATACTGGCCATGCATTCTGTACATAACAAATAGCACAGCCCTGCTACATGTTCTGGGTGAAACGCACATAACCGACTGTCTACTGCTCTAGCTGGGAGTGGGCCTCACCTGGCGTTGCAGCTGCTGGATCTGCTGCTCCAGCTGGGAGTGAGCCTCACCTGTTGCCGCGGCTGCTGGATCTGCCGCTTCAGCTGGGAGAGAGCCTTACCTGTTGCCGCGCCTGCTGGATCTGCCGCTCCAGCTGGGAGCGAGCCTCACCTGATGCCGCAGCTGCTGGATCTGCTGCGCCAGCTGGGAGCGAGCCTCACCTGATGCCGCAGCTGCTGGATCTGCTGTTCCAGCTGGCCGTGAGCCTCACCTGTTGCCGCAGCTGCTGGATCTGCTGCTCCAGCTGGCAGTGAGCTGCCTCCTGTTTCCCGATGGCCTGCCGTATCTCGCTGACCTCATTCAGCAGACGCAGTTCGGTCTCTGACGTGGCCACCTGGCGGACGGCGCGGGGCGGTATCCCGTCAGAGTCCAGCAGTGCCGGCGAAGACGTCCCGCGCAAGGCCGCGCCACCACCAGCCGGGCAGGGCGGCCACCACCCCAGCCGACGGATAAGCCACGCCTGCTCGATCAGCAGAACTGCACAGCACTGAGCCATCGCGCTCCGTCCGAGAGCGGTGTCGAACAGGCTGGCCGCCGTCGCGGGGCTCCGCTCAGACCTCACCAGCCGGACTGGTGCTGATGCCCAGCACAGCCGGCCGGCGTGTGAGTGGTGTCGGCCTGGGCGGCTCACCTTCTGGCCGTCCATCGAGTCGGCGACGCTGGAGTAGTCCTGGTCGAGACGCGCCAGGATCGGGTTCAGCACCTCCAGCCGGCCGCGCAGCTGCTCCAACTGCCGCTGCAGCCGGACTGTCTCCTCCTGGCTGTCCGCCGACTGGGCGGCAATCGTCACCAGTCACACGCCAGCCAAGGGCGGTGCACAGTGGACCGTGCATAGCTCCCTCGCGTCCAAACCAGAACCACGCACACCTAGCCGCTTCGATCACCTCAGTCTAAGAAGGAAACCTGTGGTTTGCATGTTCAAAACATTGGTCATCTTTGCCTGTGGAGACGTCTGAGTACGTCTGTTCAGTACGTCTGAGTTAAAAGTGTTCCATACCTAAAATACTCCAAATAATCTCCAGCAACAGCAAATGGGCCAAGACGGTTCAGGACGCCTTGGTAGGCAAAGTAACTCTGTAAGTATGCGTTGCGGTGTTTACTAACAACACCCGTAAGCACCTGTAGTCGTCCGGTAGACAGTGCGACCTGGTCTGCGGCGGGCAGGCACGTCTCGCCGCGTCCCCATCCCTCCAGCTCGTACCTGGTCTGCGGCGGGCAGGCACGTCTCGCCGCGTCCCCATCCCTCCAACCCGTACCTGGTCTGCGGCGGGCAGGCACGCCTCGCCGCGTCCCCGTCCCTCCAACCCGTACCTGGTCTGCGGCGGCAGGCACGTCTCGCCGCGTCCCCGTCCCTCCAGCTCGTACCTGGTCTGCGGCGGGCAGGGACGTCTCGCCGCGTCCCCGTCCCTCCAACCCGTACCTGGTCTGCGGCGGCAGGCACGTCTCGCTGCGTCCTCGTCCCTCCAGCTCGTACCCGGTCTGCGGCGGCAGGCACGTCTCGCCGCGTTCCCGTCCCTCCAGCTCGTACCTGGTCTGCGGCGGGCAGGCACGTCTCGCCGCGTCCCCGTCCCTCCAGCTCGTACCTGGTCTGCGGCGGGCAGGGACGTCTCGCTGCGTCCCCGTCCCTCCAGCTCCTGCTTGCGTGTGCTGAGCAGCTGCTTCTTCCTGCGCAGGGTCGCCTTAAGCTGCTGGATGGAGTCGCCGCTGGAGCTGGTGAAGGCGCTGTTGGCCTGCTCGGAGCCGGCGCTGGCGCTGGCGCCGCCCGCCTCCGAGCCGGGCACGGTGGGCGCCGAGTCCCAACTGTGCTCCGACGCGGGCGGCGACATCGCTCGCGCCGACGGCGGCTGCGGCGACCGCTCCTCCGTCTTCTCGGCCAGAGCGCTGACGTCGAGCCGCGACAGGTCACTGGGCTCCTCGTGGGCCGACGAGGCGGCGGCGTGACGCAGCACCTCCGGGCTCGGCTGGCTCCCGGAGAGGCCGGCCAGCAGCCGTGCCGACAGGCTCGTCTCCTGGCCGGACCGGTCGCCGGCCGACAGCGAGCGCTGCAGACGGGCACCGGCCGGTCAGTCGCCGGCCGCCCAAGGCCAGTCGCTGACGGGACGCGCCCGCCGCACTCAACGGCACATGTAGTGACCAACCTGCACATAAACGCCACAGCCCAACAAAAATGCTCGTGAAACGAGGGAAAACGCGGGTGTGGGGCGTGAGCCTCGTGAGCCATTCGCTCTGTACGCAGACGGCGCCAGACTCAGCCCACTCGACAGATCGAGTGGGCTGAAGAATCGCCAAGCTGATCCCAGAAGTAGGAATCAGTGGTTAACACATAAAAGCGGCAGTCTCGTCTCGCATGGTACCGAGGACTGCTGGGCAAGGCCCCTGACGTTCCGTTCCAGGTCCTCGATCTGCTGGTTCTTGTCGGACAGCAGCCGCTCCACAAACTCAGGCAGGTTGTTCTCCCGCAGCTGGGCCAGCAGTTCCTGATACTGGAGCTGCAACACAGCATACGACCCGTCACCAAAAAGCCCGGGAACGAGCCGCCCGCTCTCGACCAAGCCGGTTAGGTTTCGCACCACACCTAGACCCCCAACAAGGAGGCCTTGCCGGTACCGGCACCTACACAGTCCGTCTTACAACGGACCCCTATGGTGACTGAGGGGAGAGCCAGCGCCACGCCTCCATCGCCTGACGCTGGCGCAGCCGTCCGTCGCCGCCGCCGCCGGCGCCAGGTCCACGTACGTCGGTGGTGCTGCCGACCGGCGAGCGGCGGATCGTGTCCAGCATGAAGCGGCGCCGCTGCTCGGCGTCCAGACTCCAGGCGCGCTGGTCAGCCACGCTCGCCACCGCGCGCAGCCGGTTGGTCATCTTGACGGCGTGGTGGTCACCATATTCGTTCCCGTCGCCCGACGTCAGGCTGGTGGAGGCCACGCGCGCCATGTACAGGCGCCGCTCGTCGCCGCTCAGGCCCCAGGCGCGCGGGTCTGACACCGAACTCGGGTTGCGCAGCGCCAGCAGGTGCAGTGACGGCGCCGCCGGCACCTCCGCAGGCGGAGACGGGGGTTCCGGCATTCTGATCGCCTGGCGCGACGGCTCACTGGAGCGATGAGGTCTACCCCGCCAGCCCGGGTCTGAACAACGCTGAGCACGTCCGGAAAACAATCATAACTGCATGTAACGGTGCTGACTAGATACAATTTAGGCTTAAACGACAAATTTCATTCAGCTGGTTGAGAAAAGCGCTGCAACTTTGGTTACGGGTACGGAATACGAAATGTCATGACCTCGCCGCCTTGCGGAATTCAAAAGCCGAGCAATTTGAAAGACACGTGCCCAATGAAAACCGACGTAGCTTTCTCGTGCCTATGTCTGTGGATACTTCTTCGTCAAGTTTCAAGAAACATGTTTTGAAGCAATGAAAAAGAAAAAGCATTGATTGTAACAATACTCTCAATCCCTCATCAATTACTATCGCCCGAGGACAAAGACAAGTCTACGCTGTTCTTGTTTATGTGCCAGGTATAACTGCTGAAAACCGCAGTCCAAGTTTTAAAACGTTTGATTCTGACTTCAAAATATTTTGTTGAGCTGACGACCAGCAATATGCCGCGAGGAAATGATTAAACAACGTTGTAGTGCCAAACAACGGTTGTGTTAACGGCATTTAATTCATTTGTCATTAGTACTACAACGTCGTGTAACCAGTGCCTCCTGACACAATGAATGACGCAAGCCTAACAAAAGCCCTTTGAAATCGTAGTGCAGAAAACCGGGAGCGGAAAGTCCTCCTTTCTTATACAAAGTTTGATTCCTGTTCAAGCAACACATCTAGCGATAAGCTAGCAGTGTATTATCTGCACTGCTTATATTGTGGTTTGTACAGCTGGTGCCATCAAAAAAGTTTGCATGACTTCTGTCATCACAACCAAACGCGACCATGACAGGCCAGACAATGTGGCAACAATCTTGGCTGCAGTCAGCACAGGCCGAACCTCAAAGACAGGTTCACATCATACCTCGTCCTTATCGACAGGTACCCATGACCATGGTGAATGACCCGAGCAGCCCCCTTCCCAGCCGATAGCTGTGGGCTGTTCGCTCCCAAGCTGGTGATGAGCGGTAATAAAGCGGCAGGGTCATCATGAGAAAGACCGTGTAGATGACGGCTGTGACCTTTCGGTGGCTTGGATACAGTCTGCAGTCCGCCTGCATCTCGTCTACAGTGCCGGCTAGCCGTGGGGGGCGACCAACACCGTATTCACGCACGCTGCGTGATGGTTGTTCTGCTCGGTTCTGTACGCTCAGTACTGTTCTGCAGCCAGTGTGGGTCCTCTGGGTTGTGTCTCATCTAATACACCAGGGCCACGACCTGTCGGCATGGTTCTGTACCCGTTCCGCCGAGCTCCCCAGTTCACAACGCGCCAGGTGTGAGCTCTGACACTCGACACTCCGTGGCAGAGAGTCTGTGCCGGCCTCACCTGCAGGGCGCGGTGTCTGGCCTGCAGGGAGCGCAGCTCGGCCGCCTCGCGTGGAGAGCCGGCCGGCGGTGCTCTCTCCTGGTCCCGGCCCAGCCGCGCCAGCTCCGACTCCCGCGCAATCAGCTTACGGCGCGTCTCGTCCAGCTGACAGGTCAGGTCAGCCAGCTGCAGAGGTCACCGAGGCACATCACACACCGGAGCAGGGGGTCAAACGTCCCCAATGGGGGTCACCGACAGGTCAGGTAGGCCAGCTGCAGAGGTCACACCCGTACGCCACGCCATGAAGCAGACGGCGACCTGTTCCAAAAGCGACAGCAGGCCAACTGACGGGTCACGTGTAGGACCTAAATATACTGTAGCGAGGCCGGCTCTCGTGTGCGCACCAGAGGACGCCTGAACAGAAGCTGCGTGAGGACAGTTTCCGCAGCCGAGAACGCCAATGACAGACAAATTATTAAAGGCACTCGGCATGTTCAGACTGTATTTCTCCGTCCTACTGCTACACTCGGTCCAGACCCCGCCACCTCTGTCGGTCTCCCACCTGTTTCTCCTTGGCGCGCATTAGTTTGGCGGCGGCGTCCAGCTCTGCCTGCAGGTAGGCCAGCCGACCGCGCCACTCCGTCTCCGGTTCGGTGCCGACCTCAGCCGCCAGGCGGCTCTGCTGCAGCCGTGCCCGCAGTGCCGACTGCTGCAGCAGCTGCTCCGTCAGCTGCTTCTGCAGCACCTCCCGCTCGACCAGCAGGTCCTGCGCCGCCGGGAACGCGTCCATTAACAAACCAAAGTTGTGATTAACACATCAGTTTATCTGAACAATCAGCTATTCGTCACGTTCAGCTGCATCCAACAGACACACATATGACCTAACGGACCCGCTGGTCGGCCTGGCAGCATCTCATGACTGGCCTGCTGGCCAGCCTGACAGCATCTCATGACTGACCTGCTCGCCAGCCTGACAGCATCTCATGACTGACCTGCTGGCCAGCCTGACAGCATCTCATGACTGACCTGCTGGCCAGCCTGACAGCATTTCATGACTGGCCTGCTGGACAGCCTGACAGCATCTCATGACTGACCTGCTGGCCGGCCTGACAGCATCTCATGACTGACCTGCTGGCCGGCCTGACAGCATCTCATGACTGACCCACTGGCCGGCCTGACAGCATCTCATGACTGACCTGCTGGCCGACCTGACAGCATCTCATGACTGATCTGCTGGCCAGCCTGACAGCATCTCATGACTGACCTGCTGGCCGACCTGACAGCACCTCATGACTGGCCTGCTGGCCGGCCTGACAGCACCTCATGACTGGCCTGCTGGCCAGCCTGACAGCATCTCATGACTGACCTGCTGGCCGGCCCGACAACGGCTCAGCTCTGCCTCCAGCTGTCTGGTGCGGGCCAGGGCCGCCTCCTCCACGGACACCAGACGGTCTAGCTGACGCCGCAGCCGTCCCAGCTCGTCACCGGTCGGCGCGCTGCAGAATAGGGAACGCCGCCATCAACACAACGCCACAGAACAGGGGGCGCCGTCGTCAGCACAACGCCACAGAACAGGGAGCACCGTCGCCAGCACAACGCTAGAGCTCATGGTGGCGGCATAGCCTGACGGTTGACGATATCTACTAACTTGACATAGCTTGAATATTGCCATAATTGAGAGCATCTAATGACTTGCCCCTTATCAGCATGTTGCCACCTTTGGAGCCAACAGGACCAACGGCCTTTCCCATCCACCATCACAACTTAGCCTTGAAACATCAACGACATCTAACACTGTCCCGAAGATAATGACGTTCTCTTGATAGCCATCGACTCCCTCAGACTTGAAAGGTCAGAAAACACAAAAGGCACACCAGCAACCGGTGACATGCCAGTCACACCAGTCAGCCACATCACCAAGTCACACCAGCCAAACTAGCCACTGATGCACCCTAAAGACCGACTCCGGACGGCACACAATCACGTCATGAGGAGGCGTCGCCAGCTACCAACACCAACCGCCAACAAGCGTCACTGCCCTTCCCACTGGCACATGAGCGCACGCCCCGAGTCGGACAATGCGCAACACAATGAAACCCACACACGAGATACACGACACCGCTGGCTGGATAGCTGATCGGTACAAGTGTCAAAGGTCGGCGGTAAGATGTGCCGCTCACCGCGTGAGATCTCTCTGGGATCCTGCCGGTGAGAGGGACTCGACGGCCGAGCAGAAGCTGTTCTCCAGCGTCTCCACGCGCTCCTCCACATGCGTCCCCATCTGCAGGATCTGCCGGTGACAAAACATGTCAAAATGCCAACATGTCAAGCGTCAAACGCCAACGACATGTATAATGTCAAATCACCACATCACGCCTACTCTTCTCGCCAGACCACGATTCGTGAGGACGGATATGTTCCATGATCGTTCACACAAACACACGACGAGCAAGGACAACATTAGGTCACATAACCACACAACGAGCAAGGACAACATTAGGTCACATAACCACACAACGAGCAAGGACAACATTAGGTCGCACAACTACAAAACGAGCACAGGTGACATTAGCACGGTCGGCGGGTATCATTTGGTCACCGCGACGTTAGGGTGCATACACATCTAGCCCCCACGTTCTGGAGGCGACATGAACGTGTGTAAATGAACGCATTACACCATTGTAGGCCAACGTAGGCATGCCATGGTCATGATGCGCACCTTCACAGCCAGCGCTATGTAATAAAGACGATGGCATGTGGACGCCTTACCTTCTGCGATACAATCAGAATGTCAGCTGCACAATCAGCTGTCAGCTGTAGCTGTCAGCAGCATATGAAACAGACAGCACATGCATATAGCAAGTATCTCGACTGAAAGGATAGAATCCGCCTACCTCTTCATTCCTGGGCACGGGATGCCAAGCAAGAACCTCGGTAATCGTCTTAAAAACGGTGGACAATTCTCCCCATCATAGCGGGCCTGCAGCACGCTGGTGGCACGCCGGGGAGCCCCTCGTCCCTGACTGGTCCCTCACCTGGTCCCTCAGCTCCTGCAGCAGGGACGGGCAGACCGAGAGTGTGGTGTCGTCGCTCTCCGCCGTGGTGTTGAGGGCGGCTGTTGGCGGTGGCGCGGCGCCGGCCGCCGACGGCTGTCCCGGCCGCGCAGCAGCCGAGCAGCTGCAGCTAGCCAGCTGCCGACGCAGGAGCAGCGGATCAGACACATTTCTGGACAACACACGGCGCTGTGCCTGTCTCCGTGTCTGTATCACAGTGCATCGGTTTTCGTGAAGGCCTGAAAGTGTGCCTGCATTTGCAGTTCCCGACACCAGTTTCTGCAGCTATAGTTCTTGCCGCGGCTGTAGGAGCACGTGCAGCACAGCACCAAGTACAGCCGCAGGAACACGCGCAGCTATACCTATTCCTGCAGCTGTCTCACAGCTGTTTCTGCGCTTGATGGACAGTGAACACGTTCCTCCAACCGTTTCCCGCAGTATCTGCCTCTTCGGCCATCTGATGACGTTCCCACCCCGGCAGGTGTCTGACACACGTGTTTCGGCCGCGCTCCCCTCTGACGGGCTATACTTGCTTCTGAGGCTGTCATACAGCACGGCCGTGTATGCAGCTGTCTGACGGTGCGCCGGTGTCAGCAGCTGTCTGACAGTATGCCGATCTCAGTCGCTGTCTGACAGTGAGCTGTCTCAGCTGCTGTCTGACAGTGCGCCGATCTCAGCAGCTGTGACAGTGCGCCGGTCTCAGCAGCTGTCAGACAGTGCGCCGGTCTCAGTCGCTGTCTGACAGTGCGCCGGTCTCAGCCGCTGTCCGACAGTGAGCTGTCTCTGCAGCTGTTTGATGTACGCTTCTCTCAGCAGCCGTCCGCCCTCTGTTTATGAAGCTGACTGCATGTGTGCCTGTTCTTCCATCTATCTAGATGGTTTTGCAGCCGTCTGAGTGTACGTCCTACTGGCGCGGCTGTCTGACAGCGGTCCGTGCGTACCTGTTTCCGCAGCTGTCTGCCCGTGTCTACCTGTTTCTGCAGTTGCCTGCCCGTGTGTACCTGTTCCTGTAGCTGCCTGCATGTGTACCCGTTTCTGTCAGCTGCTTGCCAGTGTGCACCTGTTTCTCCAGCTGCCTGCCCGTGTGTACCTGTTTCTGTAGCTGCCTGCATGTGTACCCGTTTCTGCCAGCTGCTTGCCAGTGTGTACCTGTTTCTGCAGCTGCCTGCCCGTGTGTACCTGTTTCTGCAGCTGCCTGCCCGTGTGTACCTGTTTCTGTAGCTGCCTGCATGTGTACCCGTTTCTGCCAGCTGCTTGCCCGTGTGTACATGTTTCCGCAGCTGTCTGCCCGTGTGTACCTGCTTCTGCAGCTGCCTGCCCGTGTGTACCTGTTTCTGCAGCTGCCTGCCCGTGTGTACCTGTTTCTGTAGCTGCCTGCATGTGTACCCGTTTCTGCCAGCTGCTTGCCCGTGTGTACATGTTTCCGCAGCTGTCTGCCCGTGTGTACCTGTTTCTGCAGCTGCCTGCGAGTGTGTACCTGTTTCTGCAGTTGTCTGCCCGTGTGTACCTGTTTCTGCAGCTGCCTGCGAGTATGTACTTGCTTCTGCAGCTGCCTGCCCGTGTGTTCCTGTTTCTGCAGCTACCTGCATGTGTGTACATGTTTCTGCAGCTGCCTGACCGTGTGTACCTGTTTCTGCAGCTGCCTGCCTGTGTGTGCCTGTTTCTGCAGCTGCCTGCGAGTGTGTACATGTTTCTGCAGCTGCCTGCCCGTGTGCTCTTGTTTCTGCAACTGCCCGCATGTGTATACCCGTTTCTGCCAGCTGCTTGCCAGCGTGTACCTGTTTCTGCAGCTGTCCGTTGGCGGCCGTCAGTCGGAGCAGCTCTGCCCGCAGCCGATCCAGTCCGGCCTGCTCGCCGGACTGGCCCAGCTCGTCCAGGTGAGACTCCAGCGAACGGATGATGTCCCGTAGGTCGTATATCTGGGACAACGGGGCCAGCACGTCAGCTGGCTGAAGAACAAAGGACACGTCAGCTGGCGAACACCGCACACCAACGGCAGCCGCGCCGGGCAGCGGTCCGAGAGCCGGCAACAGACCGGAATCGCTGCACACGCGTCATGCATTTGTCTTAGTACATTGTCATGACTGTACTACATTTACTGTACGAATCCAGATTCTAGATTTGACCTTCAGTAACATCTGGGAGTCGTTAAGTTCGCATTCGCCACAGCAATCAACAGCTGCAGCTGCCAACAATATGCACGCATATAATGCAGTCCACTTCATCTCGATCCACGCTGCATCAGACAATCACCCACGTCTGCCGAGCCCGTCAGCTGGCCAGCAAGCTCCAGCTCTCCCACCTTGTCGACGGCCGCCTTCAGCTCGTCGCGCAGCCCGGCCCGCTCGTGCTCCGACTCCTGGGCGGCCGACAGCAGCTCGCTGTTTTGCACCTCCACGCTCTCCAGCTGCCGGTCAGAAAAGCATACACCGGCTCGGCCTCGCTGTCAGCCCACTGGTGTCGCACCAGATCGCACGGGCCAGCCGTGGACCAGCAGCGGACACACGGCGGCTCGGCCTCGCTGCCCGCCCACTGGTGTCGCACCAGATCGCACGGGCCAGCCGTGGACCAGCAGCGGACACACGGCGGCTCGGTCTCGCTGCCCGCCCGCTGCTCGGCATCGCGTAATCCACGCCGCTCGAGATGGCAGCCGCTGCCGCAGTAGTATGTCAAACCAACAACTACGCATTACCCTGATCCTTTCACAGGCCTGACCACTCAAGTCAGCCGTGACAGCCACAACAGCCGCGCCCAGAGGGGGGGGGGGGGGGGGGGGCGGACGTCACCCTCCCGGAGCGGGCCGGCCGCGCCGCGCACCGCCCATCTTCCTCCGGCGGCTAACCCAGCCGTCCGGCCCCAGCTCAGGCGCGAGCCGCGACGTCCCTCTGACACACCTGGCGACGCCGGATGGCCTGCTCGTCCCGCTCGCGCTCGCGCTCGGCCACCAGCTGGACGAGGCGCGCCTGCTCGCGGCCGAACTCGTCTCGCTCGGCCTCGCGCTCGGCCGTCAGCTCGTCCAGGAAGGCGCGGCCAGCGCGCAGCTGCTTGTCGGCGGCCGCCATCTGAGCGGCGCCAGGAGAACGGAGGTCAGTCGCACGGCACCGACGACAAGGAGCCAAGGAGCCGGCCGCGCTGTCACGTGAAGTGCTGACTGGCAGTGATTGGTTGCAAAGAAGGTGGGCAGATAACAAATATCTTGCCCACAGACGAGTGAGACGATAGGACATTACACTGCACGGGAATCATGGGCGACAACGAACCATGATGTGACACCCGCATGGCCGTCATGCTGCAGGAAAAGGTGCAGAAAGCACGCCCACAAAAAGTTCAGCTCTCTCGTGGCGTCATTTCGTGCTCATTCGCCGACCTACGTCCACATGCTACTGCTCCCCCCCCCCCCCCTTCTCCCTCGTCCATGTCAGTCCGTCTGACCTGCTGCTTGATGTCATCCACCTCGCGGTTGCACTCGGCGACCATCTGATCGCTCTGCGCCGTCAGCTCGGAGAGCAGCGCCTCCAACTGGTGCACCCGGCTCAGCAGCAGGCGGCTGTCGTCGGCATCGGCCGGCGAGGTCAGCAGTGCCTCCGCTGCCGACGTGGGGTCAGGCCCGTGTCACGGGGTCAAATGGTGTCACGGTGTCAGGTTGTGTCACGAGGTCAGGCCGGTGTCACGGGGTCGGGCTGGTGTCGCGGGGTCGGGCCGGTGTCACGAGGTCAGGCCGGTGATGTAGGGTCAGGCGGTGTCACGGGGTCAAATGGTGTCACGGTGTCAGGTGGTGTCACGAGATCCGGCCGGTGACATAGGGTCAGGCGGTGTCACGGGGTCGGGCTGGGGTGGGGCCGGAGCCGAGGCACAGGCCGGTGTCACGGGACAGGCCGATGTCACGGAGCACGCGCACACGCAGGCCCACACCAGACCGGGACGGAGCTGGCGCGCGGTACGGTTTCGCCAACGTCAGGGAGCGACTGGCCAACACAGCACCGCCAAACAGTAGGATACACATCAGCGTAGCCCAGCAGCGGGCACCGGTCCCTCACCGGCGTCCCTGATGTGCTGCAGCGTGACCTCGGGCGGCAGCGGCTGGGCGGGCGGCGCCTGACCCGGCGGCCGGCTCTCGCCCAGCGCCTCGCGCTCTTCGCCGGCCTCCAGCCGCTCCTGGAGGGCGGCAGCCGCCTGGCGCGCCGCCAGCAGCTCGGCCGCCTGACCGTCCAGCCGGCGCTGCAGCTCGGCGGCGCGGTGCTCGGCGCGGCGCGCGCGCTCCGGCTCGCCGCCGCCGGCCGCCGCCGCCTGCAGGCGCGCCGCCGCCTCGCGCACGCACTGCTGCACGCGCGGCAGCTGGCGGCCGCGCTCGGCCCAGAGCACCGGCCCCTCGTCAGGCGCCAGCGCCTCCAGCACCATGCGGTCGGTTGCCTCGGCCTCCGGGTCAGCGCTGCGGCCGGGCGGCGGCGCCGGCCGGTACAGCCGCTCGGCCGTCTGGTAGTACTGGCACAGCACGCGCACCAGCCCGCCCAGCTGCTGGATCTGCTCACTCTGCTCCTCACTGCAGAGCGACGATTAGTGATTGGTTGCGCTGGATGGCGACCGTGCACAATTTCCGTTACTAGAGCTTTGTTTGGGTCCGGGTCCGCATTGCTGCCGTGCTTGCTACTACAATCGGGGGTGTGAGACACACACAGTTGGGCTCCAAGTGAGTTCAACAACGTAAGAAAAGGCTTTACCTGCGCAAGTTCGTAGAAGAGCGGCTTTTGAAAAAAATCACCAACTGGACGAATGAACGTCTGCTTGGACGCCTGCTTTTGTTTGCATGTCCCACACAAATCAGCTTTGGAAATCTACAGCAGATCGAGGCCAGGGGTACCAAACACCGGCCAAAAGCGTACCACCTCCCTGCCGCCTAGGGACAGCCACTGCCGCACGACATCACGCCTCTCCCGCCGGCCTCCGCGGCGAGCCACGGGCGTCGTTTGCAGCGCCTCCTCCCCAGCTAAAGCCTCGCCGCCCGGCCGGCTGACACCTACCGGTCGCGGTGCAGCAGCTCCAGCTCCTCGCGCGCCACCTCGATGGTGGCGCCTTCGTCGGCCGGCCCCAGGTGGCTCTGCAGTCGCTGCCGGGTCTGGTCCAGCTGTCCGCGCCACACGCACCCGTCACACACGGCCGGGCGAGTGGCGTGTCGGGCACCCGACACGGCTGCCCTCCCCCGTTGCTGGGAGCGGGGCCGCGTGTAATGGGCCTCCGTCCGAGACCAATCTGGACCAAGCGGTCGGAAGCATGTACAACACGGGATTGTTGTTGAGTACATTTTTTGTGAGGTTCCTTTCCACCCGCATTTGCGTGTCACGGGTCACTTTCCACCGTGCCCACTGCCACGCTGTCGCGCCGATATCGCCTGATGCGATGAACAGATTACGTCACAACATGCTTCCGAACTACCAGAATTATCAGAAGCTGCCCGCACCCAATAAGTTCACGATTACGAACACTGCAATGATGTTCCAATCACGTTTCTAAATTTGGCAGCAATGTGAAAAATAGCGAGGAAAGGTAAGACAGTTCCAGGACTCCACTGCAAACGCTTTGGAGGGCGAAGCAGGAGGCAACACCACAGCTTAAAGGCATCAGGGCATGATTACGACTGACAGCTCGCGGTTTTGATAATTGTGTTTTTACTGAATATGCGGTACACAAATAAATATAAGCCCTGATATCTGTATTCACTGACGACCAATTACAGTACCAAAACCGAGCATCTACCGACACTGAGACGCACTACAAACGGCGCATGCGCTCACCAGGCAGCAGAACATGCGGCGATACCAACAGAACAAAAAATGAAGCCGAACATAACAAACCAACACAAAAACAGTGGCACACAAACATTCAAATGAAAATATGACGCGGTTGCTATTCATTGCGAGGAAAGCTCTTGTCATCAGCCCAGCGGCCAGGGCCGGTTGGTAATCTGAAGTACAGGGCAGCGGACTGCCGAGGAGTAGCTGGCAATCTACAGAGCAAACCGTCCAAGCATACCACAGCCCCAGCGCAAGCAGGAGCCGGGGTCGCGTGCAGAGGACCAGCGCGGGTGCAGGGCTCCGCCACACCAGCGCCGGCGGCACGAGCCGGGTCCGCCCCCGTCCGCGCCGTCACAGCTGACGGGCGGACGGAGGAGGTCGGCGTCAGCGGCGGCACCGGCGGCCGGTGCACCGCCTCCCGACCGGCGGACGGAGCAGGTCGGCGCCGGCCTCCTCCCAGCCGTGCAGCGTCGACAACCGGAGCCCTTCCACCGGCCCAGCCAGCCGCCGACGCCAAAGCAAGGGGACAGCGCCGGCCGCGACACCAGAGCGAGGGGGAGAGCGCCGGCCGCCGACACCAGAGCGAGGGGGAGAGCGCCGGCCGCCGACACCAGAGCGAGGGGGAGAGCGCCGGCCGCCGACGCCAGAGCGAGGGGGAGAGCGCCGGCCGCCGACACCAGAGCGAGGGGAGAGCGCCGGCCGCCGACAAACCTGGCGGATCTGCAGCCGCAACCCGTCCAGCTCCAGAGACAAACCCTCGCCGAAGTGGCTACAGTCGAGAAGGTCGCTACCGAGCCGCTCCTGGAGCGACTCCAGCTCCTCGGTTAGGGTCTCCTAAGGAGCGGCGGGCCCGGCGGTTAGTGAGCGCATGCGAGCGGCTGAGCGGATGGGGGTGGGGGACTGCCCGGGTGCGGACGAAGCCCGGCCCTCTCCCACGTTCGTCGCGCGGACAGCGGGCAGGCCTCGGCCCCTATGACGGCGGCCAGCCGGCTGGCGGCCAGGACAGCGCATCAGGAGACGCGGACCGCTTCAGCTCACAAATACGCGGGGACTGCCGCGCGTCCCGGGGAAGGGCTCCGCATCGGCTAGTCGTGTGGGTGCTGAGTCCATTTGACTCCCGGGATCACGGCAGGGTGATGTGAGTTCATCACATGCGTTGGCATGCTGAGAACCTCCGGGCGCTGCTGATGCAGTTGACGGGAATGAGAGTGCAAATGAGTTGTGCGTGAGCAAGCGGAGAGTTGTGCGTGAGGCACAGCGGTTAGTGTCGGGAGACGTCCAGCGAATGCAAAGGCTTTAGTAAGCGCTACATTCAAATCATACCAACCAATTCAAAAACATTTGTTAGTCTAGAAACAGTGTTGAAAACGCTCTCCGTCTACTTGTTGACCGGTATGGAATCCTTCAATTCATACAATGACGACAAAGACATTGATGTGGGTAAGATTCCAGATTTAACCCCAATTCACCGGTCGAATGATTCTGCCGTATGAATGCTACAATGATTATCCACACCGGCATAACAGAGCGAGAGACCGCACCGATCACATGCACGGCACGGTATCCACGCCAGGGGAAAACGCCCACAGCCCGCGGACGGCCGCTAGCAGGGTCATACAGCCGCCTTAGGACTACTAACACCACATCACATCAGTACGGTACGCCATCACATCGGCACAGTACCACATCACATCAGCACAGTACGTCGAACATCACATCAGCACAGTACGTCGAACATCACATCAGCACAGTACGTCGAACATCACATCAGCACAGTACGTCGAACATCACATCAGCACAGTACGTCGCATCACACCACACCAGCACAGTACGTCGAACATCACACCACAGCACAGTACGTCGCATCACACCACACCAGCACAGTACGTCGCATCACACCACACCAGCACAGTACGTCGAACATCACATCAGCACAGTACGTTGCATCACACCACACCAGCACAACACGTCGCATCACATCACATGACCCGGCAAGGGAGCCGGCCGGCAGTCACCCAGCCGCCCCGCCCCTGTGTCGGCGCGCCGGTGACACACGGTTAGTGGAGCGGGCAGTCTGCTGCCGTGAGTACCGTTCGACGGACGCCACGCCGCCGCATGCCGCGCCATTTACAGCGGCCCGTCTGGCGCGCGGCCGCGCTCACGGCCGCGGCTCCTCCGACCGGACCTGCGGCGGCCGTACCTGCAGGTGGCGCTCGCGGCGCGCGGCCGCCTCCAGCTGCAGGCGGAGCTCGCGCTGCTGACGCTCGTGGCGCGCCTCCAGCGCCCGCAGTTCCGCCTGATGGGCCGCCTCCAGCTCCGCCAGGGCGGCGCCACTGTCGCACTGCAGGGCGGCGCGCAGCTGCGCCACAGAGCTGGCCGTCTCCTCGTCCAGACTGACCCCGGCGAGAACAGCCTGCGGCGGGTCATGGTCACGGGGAGGTCAGGCAGACACATTAGGACCATGGGAGATCATACTGACCCCGGTGAGAACAGCCTGCGGCGGGTCCGGGTCACGGGAGGTCAGACGACCAGTCCTGGCCATGGGAGGTCCCACTGACCCCACCAGCGTAGCCAGCCGCGTGGATCACGGCCCCATCCGGGCCACGGTAGGTCGGGCCGTCGGGATCACAGATCAGAATCACCGCGAAGACAGCGGACGATCGCGCCTGTGACGTCACACCTCCGGGAGGGGACAACAGCACGGTCTGGAGAGGAGCTTCCTGAGAGGCTGCGCCGCGACGCCCAGACTGAGGCCACCGGACCAAGCAGTCAGCAGCAGCGCGCGCATGACGGCCGCAGAGTGCGGCCCGAAGTTCGGACGACGGCGAGACCAGGCCCGCGGCACCGACGTCCCCGCACGCGCCAGGTGGCGGCCTGCTGCCAGAGCATGTGTGCAGCGTCACAACGCCCAGCCGGCCAGCGCTCCCGCCCTCCACCTGGCCGACGCGCGCCAACGTCCGGACAGCCACCGCGCCGTATCGTCTGGGTGACGACCACTGACTGGCGGCGGTGTGCCGACTTCCTGCTGACGGGTTGAGGAAACACACGGAGACTTGACACGCTCCCGGGCGGCCGGTTGAATACCCTTCGCCCGGGTGGGGGATCAATCTGACTCCCCTGAGACCTCAAAAAGTAAAAGGTAGAGGCACCAAGTTCACAGGGTGGGTTGGTCTGTATATCAACTCACTACGGCCAAAGTTTAAAGTCCATAGATGACGACCTTCGGGTCAAAAAAGCTAACATGGTCAAACTCAAGACTGGTGTCAAAAGTTCCGAAGACCTCTTCACGCAACCACGTTGAACCTCAATACCTGTTCTAGGCAAGACGTCGCCAGTGTTCATATTATCCCACGGGCTTTTCTGACCTCGAGAAGGAAATGGTGACCAAAACCCAAGATATTTTGTGTTTGTATTTGAACAAGCGTTAAGGATGACTCTAGACGATACGTTCGCTAAGACAAACGTTTAATCTGGGTCATTTAAGGTAAGTGACCTACCATGACCTTTCACATGCGCCCGGGTAGCCTGTTCAATACCCTTCGCTCGGGTGGGGGAGGCCATTTACCCAGAGCTTAGATGCCTGCCCTCAGAAAGAGGTCACCTGTGCTAATTTAAGGCCAGTGACCTTGTTTGATTTTCGAAGGCCACGGTGACCAAAATCATACGAGACTGCTTTGAGCTTTGCATTTGAATACGCGGCAGAAATTACGCCAGACAGTATGTCCATAAAAACACAATATTGGCCCGGGTCAGTTTAGATCAGTGAACTATTCTGACCTTTACAAAGTTCATGGAAGATGTATAATACGGTTCCTGTTATTAATAAATTCGCAATGAGCACAAGAAAACACTCCATACAGCAAGCTCTAGGGTAACAAAAACAGGTTGGGTTTGACCTTGCTCAGGACTTTATACCTGATCCTTGGGCAATGAAATTGGTTAGGACAGTTGTTGTGCTGCCTAAATAACTTTCTCAGAGATGTGTAGCTTCGTCTAACACTCCGTTGTTGCATCAGATTTAACCGTTCTCTAGAAATTGTCTTCGCTGAATCCATGGCCTGACTTCGACCTGTCGTAGGCCAGCGATCTTACAAGGTACATCCAAATTTTTGATAGCAGGCGATCCGCTATTCCCTTGGCTATTGCAATGCAAAATTTTTTAGTTAAAAGTCATTCCGGAAAAATCTTCGGGGGTCAACTTGACCCCCGCCCACCCGAGCGCTTGCTAAGAAGTCCGGGGAGTTCCTGTGCAGTTCTGTGCAGTTCCTGTTGAAATTCGTAATATGCATCAGAAACTACTCCTAATAAAGCAAGCTCTCCAGTAAAGAGGCGTATTGGTTTGACCTCTGTTTAAACTCCCTGCCTGACCCTAGGTCAATACAATATGTCCTAATTTTAAATCCCATTGTTTTATTGCCTGACATACCCTCTCACAGATGGCTTCGTCTGGCACTCCGTTGTCGCATCAGATTGGACGATTCTCTATACACTGCCTTCGCTGACAGCTACCCCACGACTTTGACCTACCATACGTCAGTGACCTTACAAGGTAAATGTAAATTTGTCACCAAGACATTCACAATTCAATTGCCTATAGCTATGCAAATTTTGGCATGGCTACGCTTGCACGTTCAAAAATAACTTTGTAGAAGCGTTCGGGGGGTCAAATTGAGCCCACCGACCCGAACACATCTTAATTCATCGAGGGATCAGGTCAGACCCGCGCAGTACAACGTATACAGGGGGGGGGGAGAGCAGAACGGTACAACCAGCAATAGATGAAAGCACGGACAACTGCCACTGGCAGCACCCGCCTGGACAGGGCACGAGAGGCATCACATAATATCAACCAGGGACCAGAAAACAAGATCGGAGCTGTAGCCAAGGCCGGCATCAACCTGGAAACAGAATGGCTCAGCAATTCGGTCAGTCCAACACAAACGGCGATGGCTGCCAACCACCGCGCGACGAGCCTGCGCTCGCGCCGAAGCGACAGGTGGTCTCCGTGTGGCCAGAGGGGAGTATGCAGACAGGAGACAGACAGGAGAGCATAATCCACCGCAGGCAGACAGACGGACAGAGCACCAGTCAAGCCGACGCCACACCAAGCTCTTCTACCCACTAAGGCCGGCCACGGCCTGTCCGGTGTCCCCATGCAGGAGCGGGGGCGAGGGTCACGCGCCCGCCGCCCGCTCAGCTCACCTGCGCGCTGCAGACGGGTCAGGGCCGCCGGCGGGTGCGACAGACACACCACAGCCTACCCCGGCCCGCGCCCCACTCTGGCTTCGAGGTGTGGTGCGCACCGGCTATACCAAAAGCGACCTACAACCAACTGGTGCATGTGCATTGTGCAAGTCACTCCGTGAGAAACACGAAGCTGATGGAAAAGGCTCGGGAGATTCTGGTCCTCGGAACCAGACGCCTACAGTGCTGTCAGTCCGGCGACCAGACTCTCACCTGTCCCCACACCCACCGGCGGTATCTGTCCTCTGGTGTACCGTGCAGGCAGCTGGTCACTGGCCAGCCAGCAACTGGTCCAGCCCAGCAGTAACTGGCCCATCCCAGCAGCAACTGGCCCCGCCCAGCAGCAACTGGCCCCGCCCAACAGTAACTGGTCCAGCCCATCGCCGCAGCTTCCGATGCACAAACTCCATCTTCCAGCAGCGCGTCTGCCGGCAGCACCGCTCGTCCCATCAGCCGCCTCCAATCATCTCCAGCCCGGCAACCTCCCACCTTCGCCACGAGGCGGCGTCTTCCCACCCGACCGAAGGCCGGCGTCCTCCTAGCCCAGCCCCGGGGAGTCCCTCCCACCACCTGCGGCAGCCACTGCCTGTCGTCGCCGTCCGCCGGCTCACCTTGATCTGGGTCTCGTAGCCGCTTGCCAGCTCCAGCTTCCAGCGGGCCACCTCCTGGTCGCGGCCGATTTCGGCCTCGGCGCTTTGCGCGCGCAGCGCCGCCAGCTCGCGCTCGGCTTGCGCCGCCTCGTCGCGCGCCGCCTGCTGGCGCGCCTCCAGCTGGCGCACGGCGCGCTCCTGCTGGCGCGCGAACCGCTCCATCGAGAGCCGCTGCTGCTCCAGGAACGCCTCCTGGCGGCGGGCGCAGCGCCGCTACAGGGGCCGCGAGAGGGCGCCGGCGACGTGGCGGGCGGGGCGGGGCGGGGCTCCCGGCGCACAGCAGGTGCAGGGGTCCAGAGACGGAAGGGGAAGCCAGAGACGGGCGTGGGTCCTTCGGTTACATTGCCGATACGGCTACTAAAGAAGAAAATTAAAATAGAAGGATAGAGCAAAGCTTCCAGAACTGAGAAGAATAGCAGGAGCACGAAGGGCAGTTGAATAGGTTGGGGCTGAATTTAAAATCAACTGGGCGTCAGTCAGGTACTGAAGCAGTGAGGTGCAGGTCGCATGAGCCTCTCAAATCGCGAGAGATGAGCGGTGTTGTGCGGCACAACATTGGGCACGCCCCGCAATTTGAGAACCCTTCACGGTTTACGCGCTGACTTGGACGACGACCGACAGACACGTGATGGCGTCCGTACCTCGTGAGATCCAGGGTATCGGGAAAATACGCCTGGACGCGGGACACGCAAACGAGAACTGTATACAGATTCCGACCAGACGGAAGACGCGGAGGGGAGAACAACAGACAATGAGGACCAGGTAGCAGACAGACAGACAGTAGATGGTGAGAATGATCGCATCCCGCTATGGCAGTTGCTGCAGGTAACAATACAAATTCTGGCGGATTATTTTTTTTTCGTCTCTCTTTTATCTCCTCCTCGCACTTGAATGAGCCAGGAATTAAGTAAAATGCAAGCAAACTGTCATTACGAGACCTACAAAATGACTTCCCATCGACGACGTATAAAATACCAGGGATGGCAAACCGTGTCACCGCACCGCGTCTGAGCGCAAGTGGAGCGCGTTGGCGCCCATTACCCCGGCTTACGTGAGCTACGGGCGGCCTCATACAGCTGATGCCGTAAGCGGACCCAACAGGCAGCAGCCGCTAACAAGATCCTGCGCTGCTCTCCCCCCCCCCCCCCCCCTCTCAGCCATGGCCACGCAGGTCAAAAGATCGCGAGCAGCGCAAAAACGTGCGGCACATGCTTCTAAATGCCCCAGACGGCCGCCCCCCCCCCCCCCCCCCGACGCGGCCTGGGCCCGCGCGAGCCTACCGCCGCGCCCTCTCGGACCGCAAACCTGGTGATCGCCGCTGGAGCGCCGGTGCCGGCGAGCGCGGTTAGTAGGTTAGTCCGGAGAGCGTTAGTCGGCCACACCGCCCCACACACACGCCAGGCAGCGGGCGGCAGCGGTTAGCGGAGCCAGACGGGGCGTCAGCTGACCGTCGGCACTCGAAGAAGGCGGTGCGCTCTCTGACCGGGCAGACCTGGCGGGGCTTGGCAGACCGGCGCCGTGGCTGTCTGAACGCCGGCCTCGGCCGCCCCGCCAAGCCCCGTGCCCCTACCCAGCAATGTGCAGCGTGCCACGTGCTATGCGCGTCATCACTTTACAGCGCGCCCGCATGCGCACAGCAGCGTGCGTTTGGTCCAAAGGCTAAAACCTAACTTCCATTTTAAAATGTGTGAAGTGTGAATTGCATCGCGTGTGTTGGACACCAGTGAGACGGAAGCTGTTGGCCGCCATTCCGTGAGCTCCACATTTTGAAAATGACACTATTAGCTTGAAACGAGAGGTGTGTGGGTGTGTGTGTGTGTGTGTGTGTCATTGGGGCTTTACGACGCACCCAGTTGCTGAGGCTCTATGGCGTCGCCTGCCTCTCACCCTGGCAGGAAGGGCGGGCACCGCGGGGAAACGAGAGGTGTTTGACGCCCATGGTAGTCATATCCCGCGCGCGTGCGCTGCCTCCCACGAGTGGGCCGAGAGCCCGTGTTGGTCGTCTCCCGCGGTGTTGGCGTGAGTGCGTGAGTCCCACTGCGGGCGGGCCTCCCACGAGTGGGCCGAGAGCCCGTGTTGGTCGTCTCCCGCGGTGTTGGCGTGAGTGCGTGAGTCCCACTGCGGGCGGGCCTCACCTGCTCTGACTGGTTTTTCTTCTTCATCTCGAACGAGAGGTTCTCCAGCTCGGCCAGCAGCATCTGGCGCCGGCCGTCCTCCTCCTCCTCCAGCTGCGTCGTCGCAGGCCGGGCGTCGCCGGCGCCGTCGGCTGGACCGGCGCTCTCAGCCTTCTGCGGACGGCGCGCAGCTCACTCACGGTGCTGCCCCGCCCCGCCGCCAGTCATATGCCAGCCGGGGTCAATGTGCTACCCTGGCCCGCTGTCCTTCCGCACGGCTGAACCATGTTCCCTTTCCCTGCCCACCCCACCCCTTTATCACGCTCCAGCGTCTGTAGCCGGGCGCAGCAGAGGTCCACCTCCGACACAGACCAGACCGGTCCGGTCGGAGGGCAGAGCAGCGCAGAGGTCCACCTATGACACAGACCAGACCGGTCCGGTCAGAGGGCGGAGCAGCGCAGAGGTCCACCTACGACACAGACCAGACCAGACCAGTCAGAGGGCGGAGCAGCGCAGAGGTCCACCTACGACACAGACCAGACCGGTCCGGTCGGAGGGCGGAGCAGCGCAGAGGTCCACCTACGACACAGACCAGACCAGACCGGTCAGAGGGTGGGGTAGTGCCCGCTCCGAACACCGGATACCGGTCGCAACAGGCGCCCACTTCAGGCACGACACCGGTCGGCTAGTGACGTGTCGTGCTCTCTGTCAGCTGACCGTCAGCGAGCCGCCGATCAGCACTACCTGGCGGCCTGGGCCAGACACCGGCGGGCGGCCCGCTCTGTCAGCTGACCGTCAGCGAGCCGCCGATCAGGCACCATACCTGGCGGCCCCTGGGCCAGACCCGGCGGGAGCGGCCCGCTCTGTCAGCTGACGTCAGCGAGCCGGCCGATCAGCACTCCGGCGGATGGGCCAGGGCGTAGCGGCCCGCCCTGTCCCGTACCTGTTCCTGGTGCTTCTGTGTCAGGCGCTGCACTTCGTCCTGGTGTTCCTGAATCAGCTGATTGCGGACTTCGCTGATCTGCCTCTCAGCCTCCCGGCGGCCCGCCTCCGCTTCCTTCTTGTACCTGCGGAGAAAACCAAAGACCATTGGAAATTAACATCCAGACCGTTCACGTCTACGTATTGACTCACTTGTACACGTACATGTCGACGATGAAATGAGGCTTGCAAAAAGAGACAAAAACAAAACACAAAACGCAGACAAACCCCAAAAATTAACCGATTTTGGTTTGTTTGTTTGCTTGTCTGTTTTTGGATTAGAGCCCTTCCGACCAGAAATGATCATTTCAGGTTATGGGATGAAGGAAAATGGTTAACGGTGGGGCAGACTCGCATACGCCTGGGGGGCCAACCGCCGGGCCTTAACACGCGCATGGACGCTGGGTACCCGGTCGGGTCCCTCTCCCCACGAGGCTCTCGGCCCACTCGTGCTTGACACATGCAGCCTGCCCCGGACAGGCGGGGTGCCGCGAAGATGCAGAATGAAGCGGGACAGGGGATGGGAGGACTGGATAAGTCGACCGAACGTTCCGCTATTCTTGGGTCCATTCGACATGCTGTGGAAAACTACTACTGTCTGGAAAACAGCCACACTACACCGCACTGACGCAATGCAAGCCAACAAAATATGTGCAAACTGAGATGTTAAAGCAAAGCTTACCGCTCCACCGTCTGCGCCATTTTCGTCAGGTGTTTCCTCTCGAGCTCGGTCACTTCCTTTCTGTGCTTGCGCTCCAGCTCTGTCCTGACATCTCGCGTCTGGGAGGCCAACTTGCGTCCCAGCTGCTGCCGCAAGGTGGCGATGCGGCGCTCAAACTCCACGCGCAGCCGCAGGACAGATGGCCTGGCACCAGATAAAGATGAACAATCAACGAACGCCAGGGGCCGGTGATACCAGCGGCTGTGACCGACACACCGTCAGTCGCAGTCGCTTCCAACGGAATTCGACAACGCCAGGGGCCGGTGATACCAGCGGCTGTGACCGACACACCGTCAGTCGCAGTCGCTTCCAACGGAATTCGACAACGCCAGGGGCCGGTGATACCAGCGGCTGTGACCGACACACCGTCAGTCGCAGTCGCTTCAAACGGAGCTGCACCCTAACAAACACTTTATTCTCACACCTGCTATTGTGGTGAGGTGAGCTTCTTTGTAATAAACTTACGCTAATGCCGCATGGACCTCATCGCTACAATAGCAGTGTTCAGAATGCGTTTGGCCCTGAGGCCGCTGGTCACCACATATCAGTTACACAGGTCAGTAAACACAAACGTCACGAGGCAAGCCTGTACAGCGACGTAGTATACGCATTCCTGCGTGCTGGTCACAAACATAGTACACCCCTGGGTAATGCCAAATCCGCACAGTCCAAATACAGCCTGAAATTATACCGGGGTGGGATATATTGCCGAGCTCGTATAATCCTACCCCAGGATAATGCCAGACCGGCAACCCACAATGGGCCATCGATTCCTGAAATACATCTGGCCTATTCCAGTTTACAGGCCTCTAAATCCTGACAGCCCACCGACCATCTTACATCACCAGCCCACAGCAGGTCAATGAACCCCTCCCCTGGCTCCAGGTGGGCGGCCTGTCGATACACCGCCGACCCGTGGCAGGCGCCCGGCCGGCGCCAAGTCACTGACCCGACAGTGTCATCGCCGTCGGGCAGGCCGAGGTCGGTGAAGCTGCCATCCAGCTCGGCTGTCTCCTCCTGTCCGGCGGCTCCGGCGGCGGCGGCGGCGGCGGCGGCGACCGGCTCAGCCACGGCCGGCTCGGTCCCAGCCTGCTGCTGGATCAGGCGGCGCATCTCGTCCGAATACCTGACGGACAGAGCGGGGTCAGACGGCACACCTGACGGACAGCGGGGTCAGACCGGCACACCTGACGACAGGGGTCAGACGGCACACCTGACGGACAGAAGAGGGTCAGACGTCGCACCTGACGGACAGAAGAGGGTCAAACGTCACATCTGACGGTCAGATGAGGGTCAAACGGCACACCTGACGGACAGAGCGGGGTCAGACGGCACACCTGACGGACAGAGTGGGGTCAGACGGCACACCTGACGGACAGAGCGGGGTCAGACGGCACACCTGACGGACAGAAGAGGGTCAGACGTCGCACCTGACGGACAGAAGAGGGTCAAACGTCACACCTGACGGTCAGATGAGGGTCAGGCGGTACACCTGACGGACAGAGAAGGGTCAGACGTCACACCTGACGGACAGAGGGTCAGACGTCGCACCTGACGGACGGAAGAGGGTCAGGCGGCACCTCTGGCGGACAGAAGAGGGTCAAACGTCACATCTGACGGTCAGATGAGGGTCAAACGGCACACCTGACGGACAGAGCGGGGTCAGACGGCACACCTGACGGACAGAGTGGGGTCAGACGGCACACCTGACGGACAGAGCGGGGTCAGACGGCACACCTGACGGACAGAAGAGGGTCAGACGTCGCACCTGACGGACAGAAGAGGGTCAAACGTCACACCTGACGGTCAGATGAGGGCCAGGCGGTACAACTGACGGACAGAGAAGGGTTCAGGACGACATACCTGACGGAGAGGGTCAGACGTCACACCTGACGGACAGAGGGTCAGACGTCGCACCTGACGGACGGAAGAGGGTCAGGCGGCACCTCTGGCGGATTGAGGTTGGCGCGGACCCCCCAGCCTCGATCGCCGCCAGAATTATCCATTAATGGTCACTATCTTCACACGCAAAGGCGATTCTCAATATAGTGTAGAGGCATGCGATGGACGAGATGATGGCAGGCCGGGCACACAGTGACGGCAGCGTGTGGACACTACAAACTGCAGCCTTTTCGCGCTTGTAAGATTCCGGATGGATACGACGCGCAGATGGGTGCACACGTTAATTGGATGCTTGCTTGCAAAAGACAAAAATGCACCTTGACAAGTAACACGATCCATTTACACTAGTCCTTCCAACATGAGTAACATCTCCAAAATAATAAAAGCCGACTCCGGGAGGATTTCTGTAGCGCTGAAATGGCCTGATTTTGAGCAGCTCTTCCCGGGCTTAGCATCAAGGCCGCTAAAGCCCTTCCGAGTGCTCCCTACTTTACGTTACCAAACAACAGCGCACAAGATCTACTACTTTAATCAGAGGCCGGCCAGAAATACAGGGATTCTTAAAAAGACCTCGCGGCTCGCTGCGGATGTTGCGCAGTATAGCATACCCGCACATGCAGGGCCCCGCACCGAAACAGTGGCGGCTGGTGCGCGAGGCGATGCCAGCCAACTCATCTGGCAAGTGACGGATGGAGCGGAGAGCACCCAACACCGGCAAAAACGAGCCGGCGCCGCCTCAGCACTCGCAACATCCACGCTGTCGTCGGACCGTGCCCACAGAGCACACCCGGCTGTCCACACTCACATTTTCTCGGTA